AGCAGATAGAACTTCACTATTTAGCAAAGATAAATAAAATGCCACTTTTCAACACTAAGGCATTTTCAACACTTAGACATCTTACTATACTAATATAAAACCAACATACATGCCATGCATTAAGAGCTTCTGTTTGGCTCCATCAATAAAGGTCAAATAAGCACTCGACTCCTCTAGTGTAACTGGCCTTTCTAAAGTCTCAAGAGGACATCCAGTATCTGTATCTGGGAAAGAAAATAGAGTGCAAAGTCACACAAGCAGAAAAAATGCTTCCCTAATAAATGTGCTGCCTTAGGCTTCCTTTTGGAATTCTTAGCTGATATGGATATCTGAAACTCTTTGTTATCATTTGGAGCCATTAAAGTTGGGTGTGCCTAACTGCTCTGGTTCCTCAAGTTGCAATTTTAGGTATCATTAAAAAAGCTTCACTTGCTGAGATAAAGCAGGTTAACCAACACATTGCATGCTATTATTCACCATTAAAATTTGGAACTTACTTTTGCTACTGCTCTGTAGAAGTGTCTTTTGCATTTTCTTCATAAGGCAACAACTTAAAAGTTGATTATACACCAACAATCAAAAAGAGACATTCCAAGACACAAAGGACTGTGACAGGGAACAGAAACCACTTAAATGATACCTGACAAATACACTGGATTTCATTAAATAGCCTGAGACATGTAATTTAACCATTTCATTTTCTTAATATGAAGTAAAATTTGCCTGGACTTAACTGCAGATCTACATGTAACATCACAGTTGTACTTGTGGTTGTCAGAAAAACCTCAGCCTCTCTGATATAACGGTTTGAACAGTAAAAAAACCTCAACAAACCCAACCCATTTTCATGTCAATAAACCCATTAGCTTTACAGCACCTTGCAGGCACAACGACTACAATCATCTCCCTCAAAGGAAGTGTTTCACAGTTAAACATTTTCCACTTTTTTTTTTTTTAAAAAAAATCTGGAGCAAAAACAAAACATCAACTTCACAAGGTTAATTTGGGCCAATGAAATGACTGAATACAGTTTTTTAATTAGTTGTTTTAGAGCTAGAACAGTGATCCAAAACTGAAAGGAACATAGCAAAGAACTTTCTGCATTGTGTCTGTAAACTAAGATGAAATACCAGGCAACACACTTTCCCTTCTGGCACTGAATTAATGGGGAGAAATTAGAGTCTAGATTATGCATAAAACCATAATGTTCAAAGGAGACACCATGCCAGGCTTCACCTAAGAACTAAGCACTCTCCTTCTGAGCTGCATTAAAACTGGAGTGAACATTTTATTAAAAGCAAAAATCAAAGTAATAATGAAAAATACTTACCAAAATTTTTATTGGGGCATATTATGCATATTTCAAAAAAATACAGGATGCAACTAGACAAAAATAAGTTCACAATCCTCAAAAATCAAACACTACTGAAAATGAAAAGAGAGCAATTAAGTATAAAATTTGTCCTACACAAAAATTTCTACAGAGTCTGCAACAAAACTGTTGTGCCAGGCTACGGTCACAGTCTTTGGTGGAGTATTAATATATGCTACAGCATAAAAAAGAGCTGCTTTCTACATGCTACCATTTAAATAACATTGCTTCATGCCTGCAGAACAGCTCTAAAATCTCATTTAAGGTTTTACAGAACACAAGCATTACTCAGGATCCTTTACCCTGACCTTCCGTTTCCTCCTAGCAGCAAAGCACCACAGAAATGTGATTTAACACCTATTGCCCCAGGAAAAGCAAAGCAGACTTAATTTTGCCATATAAACTTTCTTGTTTAAAATACAGCACCCAATACTTAGAACTCTGTATGTGCTACAGTTGGATTCTTTTTTCTGAGTTTACTCATCCACTTCTGTCAATGAAAATCTGAACCAAAAGTAAGCCAAAATCTCTCTGCTGAACTGCACAGGGCAAACAGACAGCAACTGCTCTTGAGGAAGATCCAAGTGACTGAACACTCACTGACCATAAGCTAATCATGACAGAGGTTTTCCATTAAACACCAGTAATGCAGACAGCACACACATGGCTGTGACTTCCTTAAAGATAAACACTATATAACAACGTGCAAGGATTATTCAAGCAAATATGATCAAGCTCTTTGAGATGAGGGGAAAGGGTGGTTCTAGTATGGGTGCCAGGAGTGGACTTGAAGTGACTGATTTTTGGTAAGGCAATGAAAACTGGAGAAGTATCTTCCCAAGTATCTTCCAAGAGGTGGCACAGAATAAGAACTACTGATGGCTGGATGGAAAAACAACTTTGAAATGACTCAAACAACAAACTGAATCATGTGCAGTTATGTTCAATTAGCTCAAAATGCATTCAACATGACTTGAACCTCTGGAGTGGCTTCAGCCAGAAGTATCCATTGAATTCATCTCTGGGAAACCTCCCAAATAACATGTTTGACACGAATCTTTGTACTTACACAGTCTCCTACAGTGCACAGTCAGCAAACCAAGTGCTTTATAGGAAAAATCGGAATGAATTTTAGTTTGGCTCCATCACAAAAATACCGTATCAGTGTTTCCCTAACACACCTTCCCTGCCTATTTAAAACTATCTGATGCTCTCACTAGAACAATCCAGTTCTCTTCCACCTGTACCTTCAGGACCACCAGATATTTGAGTGGTTTGTACCTAACATTGCCTTTTGCATAAGCATTCTTACCATGGTTTGAAACAAACAATGCTTTACGTATCAACTGACTGAGATGATAGATATACTTCCACCAAATATGCAGATGTTAAAATCTGAGTTTTATTTTCCAACTTTTCTCACCAGCACATGCCCAAATCCTTCCAAATTCTTGTTATTAAAATGGTAAAGTTTTTAAAAAATGAATTGCATAATAAAAGAGAAACTGAGGAATTTACAAGCATTATTCAACTGGTTCCAGTAGAACTTAATCTTTTCCAACACCACATTATCAAGAGTATTTCTCAAACATACATCATTTGCATGGAAAATCACCAATCAGATTAAAAATAGAGATTTCCCTGGGCTTAAACACAGATGCATTCAGGAACTCTTTGGGCAACACACACATCCAGTTCCATAGCTGATTATGTGCTTTAAACTGCATAAATAAGCATCACAATCAGTAATCTTCCATGTGTTCAGGCATGAAGATATCAGGCTGGTTAATCAAACTGCTACTTCATGATTTCACTAAAACCTTTAAAGACAAAATAATACTGCAACTTATTGCTTTCAGCTTTTCCATGTGTCTCGAGATGTGAAGTTCCTAAGGGGCAGATCTTAAAGAACTGTGACTATGTAAACTGTTCCACTTTCCTTTTTAAAAGTCTTCTATACCTGCATGGATGAAAATTAAGATGCAATTCAAAATTTAAACCATGTAACTCAAAGTTTGAAGCACCTTCTGAGACGTTGAGATCGATCTGGTCTATTTAGAGGCTTCAGCAATAAGATGGTGGGTCTCTAAATTTTAATACTGTTAGAATCATATAGCAGCTGAGTCCATTTAACTTAGGACAGAGCAGACTTCAGTCACACACTGATGGGTCAGAAAAATATCTGTATAGTCTGGAAAGGTTATCACATCACACCACAATACACAGCTACAAAAATATCTTTATGCATAGGCACTTCTCATTTAATTCTAGGAAGAACCTCAAAACAAAACCCAACAAAAAATACCAACCAAATATATACCTCAAATTCACAATACTGAAATATTTTTTGAGAACCATCACTAAATGTTATTTATAAACGGGAGAAAACTATGCCCAAAGTTTCAAGCTGAGCATCAAATTATGCACGAAGACAAAATTTTGTTGCAAATATTTACTCAAAAAGTAATAATTTACAGCAGTGCCTTAACAGCTGTTCAAAACACTTAACATTCATTAGAAACAAAACTGTAAGTCAAAAGCACATTCTGAATGTTTCAGATGGAGCAAGGAAATCATAAGAGCAAGCTACCTTTAACCATATGCATTCCTAGAGCTAGCTGCTACCTAGAGGAAAAAAAACCAAAAACCCAAACCAAAACCAGCAGTGAACTTTCTGTACAGAATTTAGACTACAAAAAGTCCTGAAATTGACCTGCACAATTCTACTTCATATGCCCTTGTGTCCTTTTTGTAACAGTGAGCCAGTAGCAGCTGCAAAATGGCAGAATGTGTGCCAGGTGGTGTTTCCAGTTTGGGGTTCTCCTTATTTTTGCTTCAAACAGTTTTTACATTACCTTACTTTGGTGTGACTTACAGACCATTCCTAAGGGTCTACAGCTAAGAATAATTAAACCAATGGTAAAAGCCTAACAGCTACAGCACTTCCAGCATTAAGTCCTACTTCACACAGTTCTGTTTCTGCACAGCCTGCACAGTGAAAACCCCACAAATATATATTTTTATTATAATAATTCCACTTTCACTGAAAGTTTATTAAGGTAAGCTTACAGCCTGGCAGGATCACACCTGTACAGAGGTGCAGATTCATATAATTCTGTTTACATGCTTTTACAGACAGGAATGTGACACCAAGTCCAAGGGTTTATGTTTACCCACGTTATCAGCAGACCAATAACCATCGTTACAAGTGCGCTCCATTTCAGTATCAGAAGTGAATTCATACTCAGTTCCACTGTTTTATGATATTCACACTGAAGAATTTAAAAAAATACTTTCTGGGTGATCAAATCCCCTTCTCCTGCGCTAGTTAACTATAAAAAAATTAGAATTTATACCTCTTTTCAAATATTACTCTAGTAATATATCACATCCAAGAGACAGGAAGGTATCTTTGAACATGTTACCTCTTGTAAGTTCAGTTAACTCAGTCGTACATACACAGACATGCTATCTCCACAGGCAAAGCTCCCCTTTGGTGTCTCTCTCTCTCCTCCCTCTCACCCCCCTTTCTTCACTTTGAATCTTTAGCATCAATGAGCACACGCATCAGGAATGGTCCATGGTGTTCTTACCATTGCTTAGAACAAACAACAAAGTTCACACAGCTTCAGCTTGCTTCATTTTCATCTGTCTTGTTTACAGTTGTTTCCATTCTGTTGGGACTGCTCTCTTTAGCAGCCTCCTCTGGCTGTTCTGAGAGCTGCCCAGCTTTCTTTGACGAAGGTGCAACATTACCTTTTTGAAGAATTTCAGTAGCTTCATGCTCCAGTACCTCTGATGGAGTTAACGGCTCCAAATGAATACTGCCTTGTTCACTAATGTCTGAACTAACGGATTCAGGTTCATCTCTCTTCCTGAAGAACTGCTCAAAACTGACATCCTCACCCAATGTCAGCTTTAAGTCCCTCACGTTCATTGCTGAAAGAGTAGTTTCATCCAAGTTGTGTACTTTAGTCTGCTCATCCAGGATAACGTTATCTGAACTTTGGCAAGTTTTCAATTCACTTTCATCACGAATACATTTTTGTTTCTCACCTACTAATTGTTTATTATCTGAATCACAACATGCTCTTTTCTCATGCAAAGAATTCTTTGAGCTGTTGCCAGGGAGTTCCAAACTAGGAACGTTTTCTGTATTTGACAGTGATGAGTCTTCTTCATTCTTTTCAACCGATGCAACTTCTTTAGTTTGATTTCTATTGCATTCTTTTGTTTCATCTGAAGAGTCAGGCTCCTGTTGCCTGAAAAAAAACCAAAACAAGTTATTTTTGCAACAAATGAAATAAAGTAAGACACGGCTGTACTCTGCAAAGTGACACTCAAAGTGACAGTAGAAGATTTCCTATTTCGCATTTGTCACAAAGTTCCATAGCAAGACAAGCTGAATTTAATTAACAGCTGCATTTTTCTTACCTATTTACAAACTCAGCTTTGTATTTAGCAGTCAATTAGTACTCTAGTCCTTGCATTTCAGCTCCAGAAAGGAAGGTTAAGTTGTCCACTTTGTGTGACATAAGGGATTTCCCCTCTGCCTGCACAGACTCTTCAACACAAACGTCGATAAAATTGCTTGGAAACTTTAATTGTTGATGTGCAAACCAAAATGAAGCCAGTTCGTACTTTTATCCCAGTAATTCACTCTGCAGTACTAATGAGAATAGAGCTAACAGCTGAAAATCTACATTAGCTAATATAAAATTTACTTGAGCAACTACAGTTTTGGATTCACTGAAGAAGTGAATCTGTAAAACAGCATTTTCAGTCAGTTTTCAGAGCAAAACTATGTTTATAGAAAGGAAATACAGAAGCTCAATTTTTGCTGTTAATTTATATTTGGTAGAAGTTTAAAATAATTTCTGATCAATTCAAAATTTTTCAGAATGGTAAGTAGCTTAATCACCTAAAATGATGACGGTGCCAGACAAAAGAGAGTGGGGGTGGGAGATGGGGTGGGAAGAGGAAGCTGAAAGAAACAGAGTTAGTCTGATGTCATATATAAATTCTGCATAGGAAGTGAAATTAGGAGCAAAGTCTCTCAAATTAACTTTAAAAATTTAAATTGAAAATAGTCCCTGAACATTGACATGTGGACAAAAGCTGTGAGAAACAAAATATTGCCAGAGATCTCTTTAATCAAAATGCATTTATACTTGATTTCTTCAAGTGGTTCTAAAAATAGTTTGAAACAACTTTTGGCTAAAGCCACTCTTAACATTACCTAAGCAACAAGCAGTTCAGGGCTTGTAAAAGGAACAACTAATTTCTTACTACTATGTTCTTTGATATATTTTCAAGCTGAAAGCCTAGACACGTTCTACTGATCCAGGAAATTTAAAGGATTCCTGTGATTCACCTGTCTGATCAATGATACTGAGTTCTACAGAAAATGGTTGTTCTGGAAAAGGTGCTACATACTACAAACATTCAGAAATCTGTTTTGAAGCTGTACCTTCATTTAAATAAACTAATCCACGAATACTCTATTTCATACTCCTAGTTTAAGTCACAGGAATAATACGAGCCAGGATGAGAGAGTGCTGAGATATCCTTCAGTGGTGAAATCTTACTGGTCACTGAGGTAGACATAAGAATCTTCTCATCCTGTTCTGCTGATTTTTCATTCGTAACAAGGAAAGAACTCCAGATAGGCCAACCTCTTTATCAAATTACAACCTGTATTTGCTACTTCTGTCAAACAGGAATGTTAGGGTTTTTTCATGTAGTCAACTAAAGAGTATATGACACTCTTGAATATACAAACAATTTTTCTATACAAGTTCTTCTCTCTCAAACCTCTAGAAAAAAAGGGAGGAAAAGGGTAATATTTGAGGGGAAACTCAAGACTAAGTTCCAGCACAAAAGCCAATGCTCAGAAGCACAGGCAGTTGTGGCTGACATGACTGGTCTTGCCATAGCTGTTCCTAATTACTTCATCTATTCCAGAGAAACACTCCAGCCATACAGAGCCACATAAATACCAGTGAAATATAATTGTCTTCATATGAAAATCCAGTTGACTCTACAAAACACTGTATATATACATGACCTTTAGCTACTGTTTTTCAACAAGCACCTTGAGAGCTTAGTGGATAATGAATTAAGATTCAATGTTTTAAAATACTGCACGGCTGAAATAGGGATGTAAGTACAAAGGGTACTTACAGTTAAAAAACAATCTGGTAATCTGAAACCAATTTTTAAAATTGGTACTTATTTGAGCTAAAATGTACTTCACTTCAGAATTCTAAAGTGTTTTATTGGGTGTACAGAAACCGAAAGACAGACTTGTTTCATGTAACCTGCTCCAGTTATCCCACCTCATGAAAACCAGGATAAGATGGGGAACAATACTTTTATTCTAATGCTTACTGCAATTCTACCTGTGGAATGAGCTCCTCACCATAAAGGCCTTTTAAACCATGACTGAAGTGTTTAAGACCTGAAATGCTAAATTAAGTTCACAAAGCTACCCAACAAAACCATTCTACAAAACTAGCTCTTTTTCTCTTCATTGTGTACCATAACCCAAACACCCAGAACAGAGATGTAGTTTACCTTAGGACAACTGTAAAACATTGCAGCTGACCTCCAATTACTATTTGGAGGAGACACTTCCCACAAAATACCTTTACAGGCACAGTCCATACATTAGATGAGCTATAAATTATTTAAATTTATTGACTTTTAAAACCACATTAATTAAACAGCTTATCACAACATCACTAAAATTGATTTTCTGAGTTTCTGTAAGAAAATGCTATCGCAGAGATAGCAAGAAGTGTCTCCTACAAAACCTTGTTAAGTCATCAGTTCTAATAAAAATGTAACCTTTCAAAGGTTTCTTATAAAAAAAAGAGAAAACAAACAAACCTCTCAAAATTGCTTATGCCTGTATCTTCTTTGTTGATGCTGCATTAAAGGCAAATTTTATCTGCTGAAGTATGGTGCTGCCTCTGTTATATTTAAATAATGTTATTAATCATAAATTAAATTATTCACAACCTCAGCAAATCCTAATGGTTGTCTACAGGGTACAAAATACTTGACAAAAAACAGCTTTACCAACTTAAATTTTATGAAAAATGTATACTAATATTAGATTGATATCCACCACACGTATTTTCCTAGGACAGCAGTGCTAAAACCAGACATTTCAAAGAACTTTAGCACATAGTTTCAGCACACCACAAACACCTTCTAACACTAATGCTCAGCAGCTAACCAACAACTTGAACTGTAGCATAAACTATCATTTATTATTAATTATTACATCTTAATTTGCAACAATATATGGCAAAAATAGCTACAAAAAAAAGACTTAAAATATTTCTAGGATTGCACTGTATCAATGCTCATGTAGTTAGCAGTAAGAGACACGATCAGGGTAAATCAAATGGCAACACAATTTTTTGGGTCAGGTGCTTGAAATACTCTCAAGTATTTAATTATGAGTAGCAACACCAGTGAAAGATGATGCAAAACCAAATATTTACCTTAGCTTCTATGCTTTAATGACTTCTATGCAAGAACTAAAACAAGTAAGCTAGAAATAGCAACTTGGCAAAAACCAGTCACTCCTGAAACAGCAAACAATTCAGACACAGATCAGATATTGTATATCCAAGGACAAACCATACTGTTCTTCTTGTCTGAATAAATATAAGTTTTGCCACCAAATGGATATGAATTGGATCCAATATCTGTAGATGATTTAAAATCCATTACAAACACTATTTTACATGATAAAATTCTGATAGATTTCTATGTTCATGTTTTACAGCTTATAGAACAGATTCAAACTGTCTAACTTAAGCTGGTCTGGACGTGAACAGAGTTTGCAAGATTTTGTGATAATCAAGTATTCCTTAATATAGTTTACCTCCCCCAAATATCTAATTGTATGAGCACTGACTGGGAAGGTACACATGAATGCATAGTTAGAGAGGAAAAGCAGCTCCTACAGTGTGGGGTTTTACACTGTTATCAACTGAACGAGGAAGGAACGATGATGGCATCAATGGAACTTGATACTGTCTCCAGTTTCTCACCTGTAAATGGGATTAGCAATGAAGGCAGTACACAATAACCTGCTACTGTTATCATCAGCACCGAGGAGTGTGATGCAGAAAGCTGCACAGTTATAAACATTTAACAGAATACCATACATTTACTTTGTCAAAATACTTTCAAAACAAAGGTAAAACATAACTGGCCAATCAAGCAGTGACTCTCAACTGCCCTAAAAGTAACAAAAGAGACAGGTTAAGGTACATACAAATGAAACCTTAATTCTTTGACCATCAGCTGAAGTGGTTACACCATGCATATTCATGCTCTGCCCTTGCAGATGTGGTCCAATATGCTGCATTACTCATCTAAGTTGTTGGGACCATAAAGAGATTTAGTATCAAGTCAGGCAGGTTTACTTTCATGGTTTAGAAGTAGTTTTATGTTATGAGTTTTCCACATGAGTAACTTTACTCTGATCCTCACACAAATGGAACAAGGATGCCACAACTTCCACAAAGCTCTCAAATCTGTATGTAGCTTACAAGTGTTTTAACTGCAAGTTCACAAAACAAGCTCAGTTTTCTTTTAATTGTCTATCATAACCCAAACACCCAGAATACAGCTGTAGGTTATACTTTAGGATAACTGTAAAAAAAATAAATAATTCTGTAGCAAAGCTGCAAAAGAACGAAATGATAACATTCCAAATGAGCATTCAAAAGACATATACTTAACATAACTTCAAGTCAAAGTGCCTGTCTAGTGTAACTTCTGGGAAATTCTTAGAAAACTTTTCTGAAAGCCATGAAAACCTGCAATCACATGCCATTTTTCTTGTTGCTGAAAACCTAAATCAAAGCGAAATATCACAAATTCAACTTCCTCTGAAACGCAACAGCATGTTCACAATGAAAACACAAACCCACTATGCTTTTTTGAATGCTGCTGTGTCAAAACAGAAATAAGTCCGGCAAGAAAAACCTGTAGTAGGTAACTGATGCTGAAAGCTGGACAGCAGCATTCAAGATGGAACACAGTTTCTGTCAGAAGGAAAAAAAAAAGTAGCGAAAAGAACGAGACTTTAGAGTACTGAGTAAGCATGAGATGCTCAACCACAAAATATGCAGAAGACAATGGATGACAGGATCATTGCCATTACCAGCAACACCACAGTGGCTGCAGAAGCTCACTACCACCAAAACTGTGACTGTTTAAATACTACAAGTGAAGAGGACAAAAATACTGGTAAAAATGAATTAATCGCAGAGAATTTAATTATGTAGAAAAAGAAAGTGCTGCAAATCAAGAACAGCTTGCATTCATCAAAATTAATCTTGTATAACTAGGAGGGTATAACAGTGACTGATCTCAGGGCAAGATTAGCTGTATCTATTAGGTTGCTTGGAGGCTAGTAAATGAGAGATTCAACCAAGACACACATCCACTGTAAGCAGGAGGTTGAGTTTAGAGGAACGTTAGATGTTCATCATGGCAAAAGGAAAGCTCATCACATATCCAGACAACCTGTTGATGGATAAACTTGCCATAGATAATCTAGAACTGAAGATGAAGTCAGAAGCAGCGAAATCAAAAGCAGCAGATGTCTCAGCAGCTTGAGCAGAGCATCCTTGAAGATGAGAGATGATATCAAAAGAACAAGCTGTGAATGAACTGTAGCTGCTCCACCCTCAGAATCAAGGTTCAATAAATGTATCTACTTCCATTACATGCTTTCTTCCTCCCACAGTACTTAGGAGCTAAAAGAAGCTTAGCTACCAGAGAGCAAAGCAGCTAATAAATTCCTTTGGCCAAGATTCAGTTCATGTAGTTACAATGTGACAGAAGTCATTCAAAGCATATTTTGCCACTAGATACTGTAAAGTCATTGCCAGACAAAAATGCAACTTACATGAGTATTAAATCGATCAGGACTTGTATGTTTTAATGAACGCTCGAAAAGAATGACAAAGCCCTTTAGTTTCAGAAGCAGGGATCGAGTTCAGAACAAAATGGACTTTGATGTCAACACACACATGCCACCATTTACACACTAGTCTGGCTTGGGATGATATTGATTGACTGAAGCAGGAAAGAAACACTGCAAATGAGCAGCAAAGAAACACTGCATCACATAAGTGAAACTCCTGGTAAGCCTCTCTTCAAAGGAGTATAGCCCCCAAAAAGCTGCAAGTCAATGCTGCAAAGCAGAGAACATCACCACAGAATGGCCTTTGCCAGACTATCACATTGGGAGAAAAGACCAGACCTGCTGCCTAAAAGATGCAAGAAGAGAATACCACAGCTTCAATGCATGAAGAAAAAGGAAAAGGTCTGGTCAGATCCTTGTTCACTTACATACCAAAATAATCCCAAGCTGGACTGGGTTCAATTTTCTGGTCCACAATGATGTATCAGTGAGCCAAGGCAGTATAGGATACCTGCTCACTTTCAACTTCCCTGCAACAAAAATGTCTGCTGTCAGTTCATTTAAAAATGTCACTGGTTGTGCAAAGCAGAGAGTTGAGCATTAGAAGAGTAATGGCATAGTTATTAAGCCTTATTCCCTCAGCACAAGGTGGATCACCAAACAAGGTGACTTTATGTGGAGTAAAAACTTAAAAGGCAATTTCTGCTGGAACATCTCCAGCTGGGTTACCACTGTTACTAATGGCAGGACTGTGGCCCAAAGACAGTCTCATTAACAGTACACAGAGCTCACGGAACATGTCTGGTCATTAGCAATAAAGATGAGTTTTACAACACATACAGACAATCTGATATATAATAAAAGACACCCAAAGATACCCTCTGAGAGATGCAAGAGAAGATCCAAAAGCATTCAAGACTGTAATTTTGAGTCACTGTTCCCGACGATGAAGTGATTCTGAAGAGGCCCATAAACAAGTCATACCTCACTGAATTATAGGTCAAAGAATGGGAAGAAACATTCATAGATCATTGAGAAACTACACAGCAAAAGCTATGAATATTGTCTGCCAGTTCCTGTTCTTGCAGAGCAAATCAGAGTACCATTAAGAGCCATCCCACAGCAAGATGAACATTTTTGTATGTACTCTGTACTGCAAACAATGAATTTACAGATCTGCTACACAGGTATACTCATGCTCTTCAGTTTAGCAATGATATATTCTTGTCCAAATTATCAGAGAATTAGTATATGGAACAGGACAAGATTTACTGAAATTAATGCAGTCTATGAGCATGACACTTTCAAAAGCACCATCACCAATTTTATAGCACTTCATGTAGTACCAGTAACTAATCTTATGTCAGCATCAGAGCTCTCAAAAACAATGGCTATCTGCATCTGTCCTAACAGCCTGCAGAAACAAACCTGCATGTATTCTTAACTTCACTTCAGAGTTTTTCAGTGCTCACCCACCTGTTTCTGAGTAATACATACTTTGTATACCCAACATTCTTAAATATTTCCATATATCTCTGCAATGTATTCATGACAGCAAGATCCTTTTGCAGTACTGACAGGAGCCTGCCACAGCTGTACATCTTTCCCCACCA